ATATATATATATATATATATATATATATATATATATATATATATATATATATATATATATATATTAATTTTAAATTTCATTGAAATATTAAATTGAATAATAATTTCATATAAAAATAAAATATAATTTTTAAAAACTAAAATTTTAATGTCACACCTAGTCTTCTATACTAAGATATATATATATATATATATATAATGCATTTTTATGATATGGAAATGATATAATAAGATAAGAGATTAATTAAGGCATACTGACAATACACCTCCATTGCTTGTTCTCCGAAAGCCTGTCTGAGCATGGCTTGAATCATCGTCCTTTTCCCAACTCCCGGCGGCCCTTCGAATATATAATGCCCACATCCCTTCTCCTCCACCACTTTCTTCAACTCACACGCCGTTTTCCGATTGCATATAAAATCCTCCAGCACTTTTGGCCTGTATTTATCCCCCCACGTGTACCTCTCCTTCTCCGCCGCCTCTCCTCCGCCGTCTACCCCCACTCCACTCCCTCCCTCTCTCCGCCCATACATTACTAATCTCTCCCTCAACAGCTTCTCTTCCTTCTCCGTCGCCCACCTCTCAATCTTCTCCGGAGACGACGAAACAGCCAACGACGTCGTTTTACCCACAACTGTTGTCGTCGTTGGAGTTTCGTATTGTTGATGAGCTGGCGGCTTCGTATTGGGTTTTCCTATGAGACATGGGGCCCACTCCTTGAGTTTTGAAACGACGGCGTATGAGAGAGAGGTTTGAGTTTGGGCCGTGGTGGTTGAGCTGGCGTAGTGGTGGGGACCAGTGGTGAGTGGGCCATGGTGGTAATTGATGGCGAGGGAGGAGTCAGTGAGGCCGCGGTAATAAGGGCTGGATTTAAGGGGGGTTTTATCGAGGTCGTCGATTCGTTCGTTATGGGCTTGGAGGCTTTCTTCCGTCAAGTCGGAGTTCCGGGAGAAGAGGTTGAGACGGGCTAAGAGTTTGGCTAGCTTTGTGGACCAGGACGATTTTGAGGAGGAGGAGGCTGTGGAGATGCTCCCACGGCGGCGTTGGCGGCGGCGCGTGTTGGAGTCTGACAAGGAGCGGCGGAGAGAGGAGGAGGAGGAGGAGTTGGGTTGTTGTTGTGTGGCAGCCATGAAGATCAAGTCGGGAGGCGGAGACGGCGGAGGAGACGGCGGAGGAGATCAGGAGAGATGAAAAAGTCGTACGTTTCCATTTGAAAGGGAAAGAAAAGGCTGGGAATGACAAATGAGGTTTATAGGAAAGTTTCGAAAAAAAAAAAAAAAAAAGAGTATATTCTTTTTAACAAATTATTATTATTATTATATTTTAAAAAGTATCTTATAAATTAATTAATATTAAATTTAAATACATAATAAAGTATTAAATGACAAGATTTTAAATAAATTTTAAATTTTAAAATAAAAATTGAAATTTATTGATTTATTAAATACACTTAAAATTAAAATACATTTTAAACCAAATTTAAAATATTACAATTTTTATAAAATATTTTGAACAAAACTTGAGAATCTATTAAAAATAAAATAAAATAAAAAATTAAATTTATTTAATTATTTAAATGCGAGGCGATATTGTTTGGAGGGGGTGGAGAACACAAAGGAGGCGATAAAAGCCAAGCATAATTTTCAACAGCTTTGTTTGCGTTTCCGGAGGCAGGCGGAATAAGCAATGGATCGAGTTTGAATTTTCAATTTAATTTAATTTTTTTTTTTTTTTTATAAGCTACCAGTAATAGTTGTAGTTCAATAATTTAAATATAAATCATCCGTTCAAATATTAGAAATTCAATTTTTTAATTTAAAAAATTTTGAGTTGTCGATTTAATTTATATTGTTATTACGTCTTATTTAAATAAAAAATTCATTAATTTTTTTTTTTAATTAAAGATTGGAACTGAAATACGGTTAGATATATTAAAAAAAAATAGTCTTGGGCCGAAAGATTATGGGCCTTGAGTCCACGTTAAGCCTTTAATGGGCCGGGTTTTGTACGAACTCATTTGGGCCCATTTGATTAATTGAAATTGAAACAAATGCTACGCAAATCAAAGTAAGTGATTCTGAGTTCGAACCGGATTTAGACCGGTATATAGAATTTCCTTAATATTTTCGTGCATCCCGATCATGTAACCTACTTATTTTGAATTACTTCTACGAGTAAATACTTATCTAATTGGTCTATGTATGCAACTGACTAGTTCCTTACCGAACCAGCTAAAATAACTATGTGGGCTAACCTTTAATGGCTTATCGCCAGTAGAGATAGTTGGCAATTCTCCAACGCTCCATCATTTAGATCGAAGGCTCTTGTGTCAAGACACATTGTCAAAACTTAAGCTTGATTAAGAGCCACTAATTAACTTCCAAAAAACTGAAAAATGAACATGGCACTGAGTGACTTGAATTTCTCATAGAAGGTGCGGCTAACACCATAAAACAGTCAATTTCATCCTAAGAGACCAACAGTTTGCTAAGGATTCCAATCTAATTTCTAATTTCTAAAAATATTTATTTATTTATTTTGTACCGATCTAATTTTTAAAAATTTAAATTTTAATATTACAACATAATTCTACCACCTAATATTTAATTTAAATATTACTATAAAAATTTAATATATTTATATTAAACAGAGTCAAAAAAAATAGGGTCAGAAAATAAAAAATAAATACTTTAAAATAAAAGAAATAGTAAATAAACTTTGAATAATTATTATGATATTTTAAATTTGTATATAATATTACACAACATCCCAAGATGTGGTAAAACTTGAAGGAAAAACAAAGGAAACAAAGCAGTAAATAGTAAAAATTATTAGTTTTTGAGAGTAAGAAAATTAAACTACAGTAACTTCTTAGAGGCAGGAGTTCCGGCCATGTAGATGGTGCAGGGGGTTCCGTCCAGTGCCATGCCGGAGGCCATGGAAATGTTGGCGGCGGCGGAAGGTACAAAGGAAGTGGGAGGATTTTTGGCATACATAGCCATTTCATTCTCAGCAATCATTCCAGCTCTCGCCACATGAAGATCCATTTCAGCTTCCGCCTCTTTTGCTAGTCTTACCTCATGAGCCACCTCCACTCTTGCCTTTGCTAGCTCCTTCTCAACCTACAATTCTCAACCATTTCGTACAAACCCTAAATTTTCGTCTCGGTGAAATTTTTTAAAACCGTACACGTTCTTTTTTACTACGAGTTTCATTTTTTTCTTAATAAAACGTCTCGTTTGTATGCTAAATTTTGACTTTTTAAAACATTTCTTAGATTTGAACTATAGAGCGTGAAAATTGAGTAGCTTGAGCTGAGCTATTCATGTTTCGTTCCCCACTCCAATTGATATGAGCCCATTTGTAACTGTCCAAGACCACCACTAGCAAATATTGTCCGCTTTAACCCTTATAAATAATGTTTCGTTCCCCACTTTAACTGATTTGTAATCTCACGTTAAGCTAGTGATCGATTGTTGTTTGGTTCTTCTAAGTGGATGAAGAGTTAAATGGAAAATTACTCAGGTAGTTTCTTTCTCGTACACATTTAACGGTAAAAAAATGTCAATTCATTTTCAAATGCAATACTAACATGAACGGATTTACGTGTTTACCTTCTCTTCGGCCTTTGCCTCGGCCTTGGCCTTGCGCAAGACGCTCACGTCGTGGAGTTTTTCCTTGACGGCTTGCATTTTTTTTTTTTTTTTTTCTTGACTCAAAAAAAATGGAAGCTAGTTAAGTGATTTGAATGTTAATGATTAAACCTAAGTTTTGGTGATATTTATAGTTTATTTGCATTCACTCACTTGGTATTTATTTGGACAAATGTAGAATAAGCATGAATTTTAGGAAAGAATTTGTGGTTCAATTGAAGCCCACTTATTTAATACACTCAAATTTGTGGTCTTCGTAATTTCATTTGTCCTACTCTCAAGTGAAAACGTGGGGTTTTTTTTTTTTTTTTAATACTAGAAAATAATTAAAAAATTTTAAAAAAATATGAATATTGAATAGCAATGTTTAGATCCGGTTTATAATCATTTGAGTTTCGATTTAGGGCATTGCAGTGAGGAATCACGGATCTCGGAATGATATTGTATACTCTGAGTATAAGCTCTTGTGGGCTTGCTTTGGGCTTCCCAAAAAGCCTCAACCCAATGAAGATAGTATTAATTGATTATAGATCTATGATCATTCTCTAAATTAGCCGATGTGGGACTTTCATCTAACACCTCCTCTCGAATAAAGTACACTTCCCCTTAATCGAGGCTTGACTCTTTTTTCTTTTGGAGTCTTAGTCACTTTTTACTATGCCTTCGAGACTCACAATACTTTTGTTCTACATTTGAGAATTTTATTGACATGACTACATGAATCTTATTGACATGACTAAGTTTAGGGCATGACTCTGATACCATGTTAGGAATCACGGATCTCTACAATGGTATGATATGAATTTTATTGACATGACTAAGTTTAGGGCATGACTCTGATACCATGTTAGGAATCACGGATCTCCACAATGGTATGATATTGTCCACTTTGAACATAAGTTCTTATGGATTTGCTTCTTTGGGCTTCCCAAAATGTCATCCACTTTGAACATAAGCTCTTATGGCTTTGCTTCTTTGGGCTTCCCAAAATACCTCAAACCAATGGAGATATTATTTGGGATTCCCAAAATGCCGTCTACTTTAAACATAAGCTCTTATGGCTTTGCTTCTTTGGGCTTCCCAAAATGACTCAAACCAATGGAGATATTATTAATTGATTATAAACTTACGATCATTCGTGGGACTTTCATCCAACAGGAAACAGAAAAAAAAATTGTATTACATTTTTGCTTGACGTTTTACATTTTTTAATATAAATTATATTTAAAAATAAAAATTATCCATTAAAATTTTAATAATCATTCTTTCGAAGTATATAAATACATCTAATAATAGAAACATAAAATAGGAGAACTCTAGATTGGCAAACCCTTCTAGCAAAGCTCCAAATTATTAGGCAATCAGTTTGGTTTTATGAAATTTACAGACAGAATTAACAGACATTTTGCCAACCAAGGACCATCTTTTAATAAAAAACTGAAACTGCTACTAGTTTTATACACTATAGATAGATTTAAGTTCGGGTTCCTGTCGACGATCTCTTCATATCTATGAGGTAATTTGCAGAGTTTTTCCATGTAATACAGCATTCGATACATTCAACATCGTTTAGTATCAGTCGACGTCGCTTTATTCAACCCTTGCCAGAATCCGAAGGGCATCAAGATGCATGACAGAAATGCAGTCATATGAACAGTGAACTACTAGCTTCCACGATAGGTGGAAAATGAGAATGGTGAAAGCAGGAGAGGGACATGGAAGTGTTCCAGCTTCTGGGATTCCCTGATTTCGAACACGATAGAAACGTACGGGAAGAACCCAGCAGGGAAATACTTGCCTGTGTTGAAGCTTATTCTGTATATTCCTGGGTTTATAGCTTCAATCATGCTCAACAATTGGCCACTTCTACCATCTTTATCTGTTGCTGAAGACCCTTCGAGCGCCCAGCCACCAACATCGACCTCACCGAATAAGGGGCGTGGTTGAGTACCTATCCACCTTTCCAATCGAACGTCAATACCTGCAGCTGGAGATCCTCGTGCAACATCCAACACGTGGGTTGTAATTGGTGGTCGAGTTCGAGTTAAAGTTTGTAACGTTTTTCCAGTTGAAGCTCCAGACGCAGTACTTAGATGCCCTCCGATAATGCTCACACGATCTTCTAGAGTTTGAAGATGAACAAAAGAGAAATTGTTAGTAGGACATCTCAATCAATCTACTACAAAAAGGATTATGCCATATTCATCCATCTAGCTTAGCAGTTGAAATAGGTTCAGTAAGTAAACCACTTAAAAAGATCAAGATGAATAGTTTTAGCATTAGCATTCATTTTTAGAGAAGCTGTGTTCTTAATCCATTCATCTCTTTTCCTTATGCACTCTTAATATAAAATTATGCAAGAAAACTAATTTATGTTTAGTTGAACATGTTGGTTTTCCGACATTATATTTCACCGATTGTTGGATGAAAGTCTCACATCTGGCTAATTTAGGGAATGATCATGGGTTTATAATCAAAGAATACTATCTCCATTGGTTTGAGGCCTTTTGGGGAAGCCCAAAGCAAAGCCACGAGAGCTTATGCTCAAAGTGGATAATATCATACCATTGTGGAGAGTCGTGTTCGTCTAATGTGGTATCAGAGCTATGCCCTAAACTTAGTCATGTCAATAGAATCCTCAAATGTCGAACAAAGGACTCCAAAAGAAAAAGGAGTCAAGTCTCCCGCCTTGAAGGCATAGTAAAAAATGACTAAGACTCCAAAAGAAAAAGGAGCTGAGCCTCGATGAAGGGGAGGCGTACTTTGTTCGAGGGGAGGTGTTGGATGAAAGTACCACATCCGGCTAATTTAGGGAATGATCATGGGTTTATAATCAAAGAATACTATCTCCGTTGGTTTGAGGCCTTTTGGGGAAGCCCAAAGCAAATGCATGAGAGTTTATGCTCTATGTGGACAATATCATACCATTGTAGAGAGTCATGTTCGTCTAACACCAATAAATTTACTGTTCAATGAGAATAGATATACGCGCAAGCGTGAAAGTTTGAGATGAATTTCCATGAAGATATGCACATAATAATACGAAACAGATAAATTACTCTTTGCAAGTTCTTTTGTCATATTCATAACTAAGATTACCTTCTACTTTTCGTGCAAAAGCAGGAGGATAGCTCTCCTTTGTTGAAGAGGCGTTTTGTTTCGTCGAGAAAAGCTTTGCAAGACGCAGTTCTGTTATTTTCATTTGCTCTTGAGCAGCAATCTCAAACTCAACTATGGGTCTATTTGAATACCGTTTCTGCAACAGGTAAAATTGCTCATAACTCAGATGAAGACAACATATTTAACTAGTTGAAGGGGGTTTTGTGGGGTTTTAGAACAAATCAACAACAAAACCAGTTATAGTTGATTTCTAAGCAATGGCTCACAAATAAATCATAAGCAGAAGTAACCAACATAGCAATTCAATACGATGCAGCTTCTCATCGATGAGTTAGGTTTCAATAAAGTATAGAAGCTCTCGATAAGGACGATAAAGGTTTCTATCGTATCAAAATTTGCACTCAACTTTGAAGAAAACATATGCCAATGATAGAACAAAAACCAAAAAATATGGTAATCCTCTATCTGAACATCTTCACATAATGGTTTGCGTGATCACTATATAGAAAGATATTTTAGAAAAGATCAGGATCTACCTTTAATTCTGCAAGTATTTCGTCGGTGCTCCTTCCAGATGCACAAATAAGAAATATAAATCCGAACTTTTTCTGGTACTGAATATTCCATTCAGCTAGCTCCTGCAAAGGCAATCAACACCTTGGAAGTCATTAACAGTAAATCACCACCCACAAACCTGTCCCCCTTCGCTCCTCCCCAGACCCCACCCCCGAAAGAACCTTTGGGCTTGTTAAAATCGATTTTGAACGATATTAGGAAATTTAATACTATTAAAACAAACCCCAGATACTAACCTGTAAGCTAGAACCAGTAGCAGTTGCCAGTGCAGTTGACTGCTCTCCCTTACTCCATCTATGAAAAAATTCATTTAAAATTTCAATTCAATCGTACAAGTTGCAAGAACATACAAAGTTAGATGAGCAATGCTATCGATATTGGCAAGTACGAATCAACAAGTAATGAAACCTATAACGAAGAGGGCGCGTGAAAGTCTACCAGTTTCTTTTTATCGCTAACTTTCAGTCATCTATATAATTACAGATAAATATGATCACGTTTTTTCCTTGGATGAGTCGATCACAATTCACACATAACAAAAGAAAATGAAATCAGTCTTCCGAAACAACCTGAGAACTGAAAAATCGGTGAAGATCATCGCAGTCACTACTATTTAGTACTACAGTTAGAACAATGGAAAGATTAAAAGTGAAAAAATAAAATAAATCAACATTAACGCGTAGGACTTCTAAGCGAATGCAGTGTAGATAACAATGAAACACACTGTAGAGTCGGACAGTTCAAATATCATCTGGAAATGCATTGATAAAATTACTCCAACTAGCTGATTCAAGAAGGCGCAAGCTAATTGCCAACAGTCATGATTAGAACATCTTCATAAACACAAAACTAGAAGCCTACAAATAGGAGAAAATCATAAAATTAAAACCAAGTTCTGTTCGATACCTTAAAATCAAGTTTTACATTCCAGAATTCAATTGCATCCACTGTAAAGCGATTGATAGAATATAATTTATTCCTAGTTCTGTTCAAATAACTACATGCGACCAGAACTTAAAAGTGATTGAATCAATTCAATTTTGACGAAAAAAGAGAAGTAAGAATCTATCATCGATAGGATCTTAACTGAGCACTCGTCTGATTGGATGATTTAGACGCTTGACCAATCTGTGGATGAGCAGAGAATGCTTCCAGCCAACCATTCACATCGACCTTTCAAAAACGAACATCAAATTTCAGCCTCTGGTCACTGAAAATCAACGATACAAAAAATTAAAGAAGGTAAAAGAAACGAAGACCTGATTAAACCAGATGCGTCTAGCTGCATCTACAGCTTGTTCCAAGGAGAAAAAAGGGGAAACGGAAACCATTTCTCTGGCGAATTTGGAGCTTCCACAGCATGCCTGAAACTCTTCCTCTCCAAAATCATAACTCGCCGCCATCGTTACTGCCACCGATCGGTGATCCCCAGTCACTTTCTTCTCTTTCTCGCTCTTCCCTCTCTGCAGTCGGGTCACTACGCCTCGCTCTGCTGCTCTGCTGCTCCGCTGGCGATCGGGTGTTTCTATGGGTTCAGTTGGTTGATTTTGTCCATTTTGGATAAAAAAAAAAAAATGTTAATTATTTTTTTTTTAAAAAAAGATTAAATTACAAAATGTCCCTATTAATTTAATATATATATATATATATATATTATTTTAAAATTTAAAACTTTATTTTTATAGTTGGATGAATAGTTTTAAATGTTAAGAGGTTTTATCCAATTATTATAACTAACTTCTAACTTTTTTATTTATTTATTTGACCCAAAAAAAAATTAAATTGATCTCTGTTCCATGAAAGTCTCACTGTGGGCTAGCTTAGGGAATGATTATGGTTCATAATCAAGGTATACTATCTATATTTGAGTGATAGAGAAGCCCAAAGCAAAGTTACGAGAGTTTATGTTCAAAGTGGACAATATTATACCATTGTAGAATACCACGTTCATCTATTTTATTACATTAATTGAATTTTAAATAACTAATTATTGTTAGTTAATAATTTTTTAATTTAGTTATTAATAAATAATTATTCTCAAATAAAATTATTTAATAAAAAAATATATAAACTTTCAAGAATAAATAATTAGTATAATTTGAAGAATTAATTATACATGATTTATTTTTTTTAAAAAAAAATCAAATACTATCATATCAAATGATAATTAAAAATTAAATCTATTATTTTATATGATGAAGATAAACTATTAAAAAATAGTAAAAAAAAAAAAGAACTTTAAATAATAATCTATTTTTTGAAAAATCTTAATTATTTTTTAATTTATGAATAATTAATTATAATGATTTCCGTACCCTAATTAATAATATTTATAGTTAATTGATTAACTATATTAATTAAATGAATTAATATTTTCATGATTGATTTTATAATGGGAGTTTATGAATTTAATCCTAAATTTATTAGTTTGGTAGATTAGTTAATAAATTAATTTCAATATATATAAACAAATTAATTGATTATAAATATAATATTTTTAACTAAAGGTCAAAATGTTCATATTCTCGTTTCTCGTGTTTTTAAACTAAAAGCATATTCGAGGACGATATTTACCCACTCAATTAAAAAATTTATAACCATTGAAAAATTACTATGAAGCGAGAATTACTATAGGTAAGAATTGAAAAAAAAAAAAAGGTTTATTAGTTTAGGTTGTGCAACAATCTAAGTCCACCGATTTAGCTTGTTATGTTTCGCCGTCAGCTTCATAGTTCTTAAAATGTGAGATATTTCCACATCTTTATAAGAAATACTTCGTTTCTCTCTTCAATAAAGGCGGGATTTCATAATCCACCTCTCTTGGAGACCCAACGTCCTCACTGACATATCGCCTGTTGTTTTGCTCTGATACCATTTGTAACAGCTCAAGTTCACCGTTAATAGATATTGTTTGTCAGAGATAACTCACTAATTAAGAATATTTAATTTTTATAATAGGGTTCAGTGATGGGTGGGGACTATGATAATTTAATTATTAATGCAATTTATATTTGAGATATAATATGATTCATTTAAATAATTAAATAAATGTGGAAGAATTTATATAACATGCAGCCATAATCCTCGCTTGGAAGAATGGCGGCAAACTGAATCGTTAGCTATTTAGCTTCCACACTCATCTCTTTCCTATTTCATTTTGTTGAACCAGAGGTAGCATCTGCGAGCAATGGCGTCCTGGAATTCTACCGGAATTGATGAAGATCAGGTCTCGCTCTCTTTCTCTTCATCTCTATTTATCGTGCTTGTACAGATTCAACAATGGCCGTTTTTCTGAAGCTATTGAAATCCATGTCGAACTCTGCTAGGATTTGTAATTTCATTAGCTTTTAAGTGATAAGAGTTTTATCACGAATCTGACGGATAATCCGTTATCACATTGAAGCTCTTTTGACGTTTGTTGCTTATGTTTGTTCGTTGGCTGTAAGTTTTTAAGTAAAGGAGGCTATAGATACTGAAATTTTTCTGAGAATTTAGAATCGTCGTACGAAATATGGTGCTTATTAGCTTAGTTGTTTTCTATCTACACGCACGATTTTAAATAGAGATGTTGATGATCATACATTTTTCAGATGTTAATTTCTTTGCAGCAGGTTTTAGTGGAAGAGAGGCGGTTTGCGAGGATATTGACTTTAAACAGACCTAAGCAGTTAAATGCTATCTCATTCACAATGGTGAGGCTTGCGATATCTCCACTTTAAGCGTAGTCTCGTGATTTTCTATTGACGTTAATTTTATCTAAGTTGGAGAAAATTGTCGGTCTATTTGTTACTTCAGTCATGGATTAGCAATAATTGGACTATCTGGTCCTTGCTGGTTAACAAATTATATTCCATAAGCACCGAATTCTTGGGCTGAAGAACTCTGTATCTTGTTATTTACAAGCATTATGTGTCCCAATGTGAGTTTTGACAAGCCTGATGCCTCGTGGTTTAAAATTCTATCTCCAAGATTTGGGTAGAATCGACAAAGTAATGGGAGTGTTCATAACTGAGAAACTAGATAAACGCTCTGTTTAGTGTTTTTCTTTTATCATTCAATCCAGGTTTCGCGGCTATTGGAACTTTTTTCTTCCTATGAGACAGATCCCAGTGTGAAACTTGTGGTTGTCAAGGTATTTAACTTATCCATCAACAATTTTTATATATTGCTGTCATGTCCATCTTATCTTATTGTTCACCTACTGCTTCCATCCTTATCTTGTTCAAATGGAATTGTTCAATTACCTTAATGGAAAATATTGGAGGCGAAAGCATGACACTTACAAAGGGATCCTGTCCATGCCATGTTTTAAACCTTAGCTAACCATACTACCATGAATTTTTCGGAAGACGAGCGTTATTTCTTTTTTATTTTTTAATTTCATACTTGGCTGTGTAAAGTTCTTATCTTATCAATTTCAATACTAAATTCAAACAAGTGGGATCTTCATATTTTATCAAAACCAAGTAATAAAATTACCCAGATCACCCAACATTTAGCCCACATAGCATGCAAATCCAGTCACGAAAACGTCTAAAATGAAGTTTCCCTCGTTATCATTATCCTTGTTGGTTTTCTTTGAGTTTATTTGCATCCCACCTTTGTAGGTAAGAATGAGAATGATGATTTGATGAATTATATTCTAGTTGATGAATTGGTTTATTATGATAGTCCGTAGAATGATCAATTAATACTAGAAAATGCTGTTTATTACACAGTATAATGAAGGCTACTGATGTAAATGACAATATCAAGGGCATGATCATTTGTTCTGTTTTCTATGAAGCATTTGGTCGCAGTTATATTTAACCGTTTCCCTCTTCTTATAATTCTCAGTGTATCTACTGATAATAAATAATTTGTGAATTATTAGGGTAAAGGAAGAGCATTCTGTGCTGGAGGTGATGTATCGGCTGCGGCTCATGCCATTAAAGAGAGTAAGTTTCTCTTTACTGCACAATCCACAGCGTCAATTAATCCCGAGCACCTAATGGATGCTTGAGACAGAGGATTTTACATTTTTTTTTTTACATGTCTGTCATCTAGTCTAGGATAGCTGTGCAGAAGTTAACTTGATAATACACAACAGCATTTATATTTAGCTAATCATAATCCTGGTTTCTGTGAGTTAGGTGAATGGAGGAAAGGTGCTTACTTCTTCCGGAAACAATACACCTTAAATTATTTGTTGGCAACTTCCAGTAAGCCACAGGTAATTTTGGTTGCTGAAGTTCTGGTCGTTTTAGTCTATAATGACTTTTACTTGATATTATGTTTAACTTCCATTGATTGCTTGAATATTTTTCAAGGTTTCTCTTCTGAATGGTATTGTCATGGGAGGAGGAGCCGGTGTTTCAATACATGGTAGATTCCGTGTTGCAACAGAGAAATCGGTATATTATCTAACTGAAGCTCTGAACTTTTGGTCCTTGAATTATTGATCTAGTGCCCACCTTTTACAGTTTAAATTTAGAATTTTGAAGTAGGTTATTCTTCACCCTCATTTTTATTTATCTTTTAAGTAGCGAAATTTAGAACATGGATAATATCTTCAATTTTTGGCTTTCCTAAAATATTTTACTTGCTTCTTCATTGGAATAATATTTAGTAAGTAAGCTGCAAAAAGAGTGTTATTTTTCTCTCTTTCTTTTCTAAAGAGTTGCTAATTTAGCTCTTTAAAGAATTTATTGGTAGGGACAAAAAGTAGAGCTTTTGAAGTTGTGTAGAATGCTTGGAAGAGAGGTTTTGTTTTTTTTTTTTTTAATTGTGTAGATTTAGAAATTTAAGGATGTCGAAATATCATTCTAATCTGGTACTTATATACTGTAGGTGGAGTTTGTTTCTGTTTCTTCCATTTTTCAATCCCATTAGGAAAAAGGGAATACATTAATATGGCAACTTACCTTTTGCAGATTTTTGCAATGCCCGAAACTTCTTTAGGACACTTCCCAGATGTTGGTGCTTCTTATTACTTGCCAAGACTCCGGGGATTTTTTGGTATTACTTATTATCCTAACCTAGACACTCCTTTTTCCAGTGTGTAAGTGTATGTATTTTTTAATACTGAGCCTTAGTAGACATGCACATCAAAGCATACACTATGGATAATTTTACTTACTGACCAAACAAAGCAAGCGTCCTCCTCAGATGAGCTCGTGGCTTAGTCAAGTTGAACCAAGTTGCATTTGTGTCCCCACTTTCCTCTTGAGATTCATTTTGGTTATAGCTAGGTACAGGATGTTCCAGCAATGAAGTATTTCTTTGTCAACTTGAAGTTGAAGTGAGGAGAGAATGAAAGGGATAGGTTCCATTGGCAAGTACAAATTGATCATTAACCTCGAAAGAGGCATCAGTTAAGTTGCCTCAATATCCAAATTCAACTTGTTCCCTGGTTCCAGTCAGAGACCGCAGTGGCTTCTCTTGTTCTTTCAACCATTTTTCCATTTCAATTATGGTGTAGAGAAGAAATCATTATTCGCCCTCGCTATCATCTTTTCAACCTCCATTTGATTTCAGTATAGAGAATGACAATTGTAGTTCACTGGTTTAATTGAATGCTTGATTTTTAGGGATGATTTCTTATGTTCCTCGAACCAGCTGGAATATAGAGGAAATGAAACAGACTTTATCTTGGCTAGGAGCATTTCCAATTCTCCACCCTACCCTAAAATATTTTCCATCTGATGGTTAACGTAGTGAAAATTCCTTGTGCTTGGAGGTACTCTATTTATTATGTCTTAATTCTTTTGCTAAAACTTCTGCAGGCGAATATGTTGGCCTAACAGGTGCCAGGTTGGATGGTGCTGAAATGCTTGCATGTGGCCTTGCTACTCACTTTGTCCCTTCAGAGGTATTCTAACTCCTAAATTTCTATGATGCTCAAATGTTTAGCAGCAAAAAAGAAAGATATCTCCTATTTAGGTGAAGAACTGTTTCAAGAAGTTATAATATTGTATAGGTTTTTTGACAACACATGTCATAGATTATAAGGTGGTTGTTTCCTAGCATTAGTTTAGGTATATATCAGACATTTGATACCCTTGGTTATTTCAAAGATAAAAATGGTTGATTGCTTGGAGATAATAATTTGCAGTTATACCATTTTTTATTTGATTTATACCATATTATGTACGTGGGATGTGTTCCTCAGTACCCTACATCTCAGGTGTTTTCTCTTAATCTCGAACTTCTAGTATTTTATTTAAGAGAGAATAACTTCCTCTTACTTTTTGTTACTCCAATCAATGACCAGAGATTAACGCAATTAGAGGAAGCACTATGCAGAGCAGATACAAGTCAACCAAGCATCATCTCTGCAATTATTGATAAATTCTCCCGGACACCAATTCTTCACGAGCAAAGTGCTTATAACCGGTGCGACTCCATCTTTGATTTATTGTTTTTTCCTTGTGCGCTAGTACCAAATTTTCTTAATGCACAAATTCTAGGCAATGATTTTATCACTTTGAATATTTATATTTCTAGTGTTTCCTATCAAAATCCTTTTGAGCTGAGTAATGTCCTATTGAGCTCTTCCTAGTTAAAATTTTGTATTTGTATAAATTTCAAAAGAACATTTTATTCCCACCTTTTTTAAAACTACCATCTACCTAAAAGTAATCAATCCCTTCACACTATTATTGTAATATATCTTCATCTTTCCAACTTGTTAAATTTGACAGATTTGGAAGTTCAATTTTAAAGAAAATGTGGTTCTCAAACGCAGTGAACTTCCGTGTTGTAACAGGTTGGATGTTATTGATAAGTGCTTCTCCCGAAGAACAGTAGAAGACATTTTGGCTGCTCTTGTAAGCTGATGTGGAGAACACAACATCTTCTTGCCGTTTGTGTTCTTTATAATTTGACTCGCATTTTCTTATTTTTCTTGTAGTTCTTTGGATATTGCATGAGCATGGTCATTGGAGGGATCGTTCCATTTAACCAATTGCAATCTGATGCTTTTCTCTTGTAGGAAGAGGAGGCCCTGAAAAAGAAAGATGATTGGATCGATTCAACAATTCGAGACTTGAAGAAGGCATCACCAACAAGTCTTAAAATCTCTTTGAGATCGGTGTGTAACAATTCTAACAAGTTTGGAACAGTCTCTTTCTTTGAAGGACTGCTGCACAGGATATGAATTTTGATGATTGACAGCCTTAGTTATTGGGATTCCTTCAACACACGTGCAGGCAACTGCTGTCACATTTTTTTTTTGTTGAAAGGGGTTGTTAGGTGGATTACACCCTTTAGAGTCTTAGATCTATTGTGGATTGTTGGGAGGGAGTCCCACATTCGCTAATTTAGAGAATGATCATGGATTTATAAGTAAGGAATACATCTCCATTGGTATGAGGGCTTTTGGAGAAGCCCAAATCAAAGCCTCGAAAACTTATGCTCAAAGTGGACAATATCATATCATTGTGGAGATTCGTAATTCCTAACAAGGTCTATGCCTCCACGGTAAAACTATAAAATATCAGAGTGATGCACAAGTATGGGGCACGATAGGGAAATCCTTGAAGGCAAAATGCCAAGGGGGAGTGCAAAAAAAAAAAAAAAAAAAAAA